CGAAATATTACTGCAGATTTTTAGATTTAGGAATGATTCGTCGAAATTAAATTGTGTTTGATGAAATGCAAAGTTACAAGTCACATGCTACTTTTGTATGATGTGGTGGTGAGTCATGGTTATAATTCAAAAAGTTTCCTCAAACTGCAACTCAATTTCTTTTTATTGCCCTGATTGCTCGGAACATGCGGCCTGCGCGTTTTTTTATATTTCCTTATTGTCTGCCTCGCCCGACCGAAATCTGCCTTCTCATAGTATTCGGAAAAAGAGACTGGCTTGCCCGGCGCTTTCACCAACCGCACTAAAACGAGCTTGCGGTCGCAGATTCGATTCGAAAAGGGCTGATTCTAAGAGGCGTGACGCTGGCCGGGCGTAAAGTTCGCGTATGTGCGGGCGCAATAAAAGTTGCGTGTGCTATTAAGATTGGCAATTAAGGACTTATGATGGTCTTAAATCCGGACATATTTGGAGCTTTGATAACATAATTACCTCCTGCTTTACTATGAATCTTTGGTAATGTCGTTAGGGCCAATAGGCAAATGCCGCAGTGGTCTTGAACCGGAATAATAGGCGGTCGCGACGTATTAAGGATGCGCGAGTCTCGTCTTACGACGACGACCTCCATTCCGCGTCACATCACGGTTTAGCGTCACAGCGCGATCTCCAACCCGACGCCGTTTCTCGGTCCTTCTGACTGTCGCGGCGAGCATATTAAACCTGCCGATGCGTTACATTGTTACGCTCATATAGATCTTGTTATGCGATCATCCCGCCGAACTAATTCGCCAGTTGGTCCTCGGTGTATTGTAAACCTGCAATGGGCAAACACTCTGAGTGTTATGAAATGTAATATTTTGTGTGAAATAAGAAATTTGCCGTGTCTCCTTCATCAAATCAAGCATAAGAGTAGAAAAATTTAATTTCCGTCTTCTCGGCGGGCAGGTAAACCAGATTCTTGAAGGGCATTATGCGCGTCGTGCACATTTCTGCGCCAGCGATTTTGCGGATTTATGTCGTTTCGAAACCGAGGAGATTATCGTAATTAATAGGAAATACAGCAATTTCATCATGTTGCAATGAGTAAACCAATATTGGCCTCGATACTAATCTTGTATGGGTTCCGAATGGAACACGATACAGCTTGATTTGCATCCGCACGCAAACACATGCAACCGCATACAGCGCGCGTATTGGTAACTTAATTACAAAGTGATATCTACCGTGATTTATTATTGCCGGCCCGGCGCGCTTGAAGATCTCGCGCTGGCGCAACGGCGGAGGCTCGCGCGGCGCGAAAATCCACCCACCCGAAACTTGATTAAAAAGACACGGAATCGATACGAACACACGCGCGGGGGGTGACTGCCGCTGGCTGGGTGCATATGCCTGCTGCCCCTCGATCCCTGCCCGCGTCACACGCGCACGATAGATCGGCGGCGAATCGAAAATTAATTAAAATCTTCTGTCCATTTGTCATAGAGCGGCAAAAAAAAACACGCCGACTGCACGAACGAACGTGATTAATTAGAAAATATAACAATTTTTTGCCGGTTCCCGGGCCCAAGGCCCTCAAAACCTATTTCCGAGCCAGGGTGCGAGGGGCGAGGACCGCCTCACAATAATTGAGTGCATCCTGGGCGCATCGCCATGCTCCGCATGTGGCAACATGGTTGCTTTCGATGAAGGTGAACACGATGGCATTTCGCGTGTTGGCTGTCCATAAATTTCACCCTCGCCGCCATCGTATCGCGTTGGCCTTATCTAAAACTAATCTCTTTCTAAAACATCGTAAAAAAAGCCCGCTCGGTGGATCTGATTTACCTACGTGCGTACGTGAATAAACTGCACGACTTTTGGAGGTTGCGTCATCATCATCCAATATCCATTAGTGCACCAATAACCGCACCAATAATCATGCCGATAACCGTAGGACTCCTGGGGTGGTATCTGGAAGTCAAAATTAATCCTGAAATTTGCCACCGATGAGCATCTCAGCGATGACCACCACCGCATTTCCTTCCTGTGTCTATGATGTTGAGTATTGCCGGTCCCGGGGATATACAAAGACGCCGGGGAGACAAATTGACATTTGAATAATTCGGTCCGAGTTTAGCATGACAAGACAATAAAACAACGGGACCTCGTGCGAGCGCTCACGCTGAGAGCAAACTATTTGTAGACCCGGAGGAGCTCAAAAGTAGAGAGGAGGAGGATAGTCTTGACTTGACATCATAAATCTGGATTACTACAAGTTGTGTGTTACTACCGGCTTTGTGTACTCGTATCTCTTCATGTTCGTGCACATATTGCGGTGGCAAAATGCTCTCGCACACCCTTTACCTTTAAAACATAATCCAAATCATCCAAACAAATCAAATTCGCACGCGCACCACACTCGTTTGCCGCCGGCCCACAATTGACCGCAGAAGTCATTCTGTTAGAAATATGTCTGACAAAACGCCACCACCCACAGGAAGTGGACTTATTTAGATATGTCCGAAACCCAGCATACAATTTAAGCCCACTGGAGAGGCCACCGAAGTGCGAGCAGAGTGAACATTTGCGGGCGCAAATACGTGGCTAATTAAATCTTGTAGCTGCACTCGTTTCGGGCTCATCCCGGAGTGTTTATCTTGTCAGTTATTTCTTTGTCTAGCCACCGCACGCGCACGCTTATACGATCCCCATGTGTGCGCGGTGAGAGCAAATAGAAAAGGCACATGACTGGCCATAATCCACCCACTTTTGCTTTAGGTTCAGCCTAAATAGAAAGCCCCACTAGGTCTGTAACGCGACAGCGCTAAATTGATCCGAACGAGACCCTAATGTTGAATAAATATTAACACCTTTTAGTCTTGAAAATGCTTCATTTGTGCGCTACTAATTGTGCGACGAAACGCGCCGGGCTATTACGCTCAGAAATTGATTTCTGAGACCCTCGCCCTCGTCCTTCGTCCTCGGTCTTCGATCATTCCCGTCTGCCTGCCTACCTACGCTAGTGCGGAGCGTCGTCCCCTTTTCGATCTTCCGTTCGAACGGCGACCGGTAATGAATTCATGGCAAACGCGATTGCAGAGTTGATATTTGTCTCTCCCCTTCTTGCATCTTCCTTCTTCCTTTTATGCTCAGCCGGCAAGGACGACGTCAGCACACCACGTCGGTGCCACTGGCGGCAGTGGTGGCGGCAACTTCTCTCCCCCTAAAACTTGTAGATTGATATCTTCTTATTGTTATGGATATTAATCCACATAGAGCAACATGGTTCAAAGTCAAATGTGACTTATTCGTTTAACCAAATGCGAGTGTCGACATTTACAAATTTCATTTCGTAACTTTCTTTTCACTCGCGGTGTGCACAAGAGCGCGAATTAATCATTTCGCATGACTTTTTCCATCGCGGCGCGCGATTAGCATGCAACTTTAACTTCAACTTTAGAACTACCTCACGATACACCTCGGTACAATATACCTACATACCGCCCGAAGCTATATGGAACAAAATCCATGGCTCGTAAGTTAAATACCAGCAATTTGTTAAACTAATTGAGCTGATAATTTAAAATTTTTCGAACGTTCAAAAAAGCGTTTGCCGGTCGCGCCTGGCGCAAAGTTTATCGTTTTCAATTATTTATTGTATAAATGGCGTGGGTGCTGTGCTGGAAATGTATTTTTAAACGACCGCACCCGTGCGCACAATAAAATAAAATCGAATCAACCAAAACGAGTGTAATGCGTTCTGAGCGTGCAAAAAACCGGACAATAATTACTATCCGAAAAAGTATTTCCGATGCCACTAATCGCAGTACTCGAAGCAATATAAACGAATACATTTTTTTGAAAAATGCTGAGCAAACTAATCGTTTAATTAAATCAAATTAATGTTTTGGGCGCTTACTTCGGCGAGTTGCCGGTGCTCCCGCCGGAGATATACGGTTAACGGTTATTAGTTTTGTTTATAGTTTCATGCTCTCCCTTGTGCCATGGGTCGCTGGCGGACAAACACGCGCGACACATCGAAACGCGCCGCCAATAAAACGTTTAATTACTTGTCAATGGCAGACTTATATTGCTATATTATTAGTTTCGCTCTGTAACGTATATTCTTGTATAACCACCACTCAAAAAAATGCACCGTCCACACTATTAATTACGAATTATTAGCAATAAATTGCGGCGAGTTTAAAACCAAAGCGAAAAAGTTAATTGAAAATTTTCACACGGCGATCATCCGCAGCCAAATAATTTAATATACGCAGGCAATGATTTGCGAGCAAACATTTTCAGCTGGTAGCAAGGAAAACCTCACGCCGCTGAACGCCGATGAATAATAAATAGAAAAGGGATCAATTTCGACGCACTGAGTGATTTTCTGTGTTTCGCAAACGTAACGTTTCAACTTCTCCTGCCCGCCGCAAACCCGAAAACGGTTGAATGACATTTCCACGCGCGCGCGCGTCCCTTTTTCTTCCTCATACGGAGTACTGCGTCCCATATCAGCGGGTTTTCGACCTACATCTCTTTGCGCAAACATGACGAAACCACATCACCAATTAGAATCATTATTTTCATTGTCATAAACGCTTTGCAACCTTTTATAAAATCGTTCAGGTCGTGATAGCATAATATACAAATAACAAAAACGAAATAAAACGGGATTGTGAATGCATTAATAATGTATATGGACATGAGTTCACAGTTGTAGTACTACTACATACAAAGTTGTGTTATAGTTGTGCAGTAAGTAGTATGTAAATAGAAAAATAATACGTTGCTGCTTCCCTATCATTAGTCGAATGATGTCGATAACGTTCGACTGCACACCGACACTCACATTGCACGTAGTCCGAGCCGCCCCCAGTGAAACTAGTGTGCTAGTGTGTAGCTGCCGCTTACTAGAAGGCTTTATCCCTAGCAAACACGCCGCACGACGACAAAAAAATCTAAATAAAAAACACGAACGAATGATAAGCGAGATGGTTTGAAGAGTCATTCTCTTTCAGCCATTGTGATGCCGTTGCCGCCCTGGGCATGGACAGCGGCGCCAGAATGTTTACACCAAGGTACGTTAGCGTCGCCCTTGGCCCGTTCAATCTTTTTTTCTTCAACCATTCGAATGCTTCGAACGTTTCTTCACGTGTTGCATTTTTTTCCTCTTATTTTTTTTGTGCTAAATATATTTATTAGCTCACATCACACACGTTCATAAATTATTCAAGTGTTTTGCACTATGTGTTACCTAAATATATTTTGGAATGTATTAATATAAAAAATAAAATAAAGATGACGGAAATATGAGCATGTCACACCACAATTTTCAACTTTTTATAAATAGTTAAGTTAAGCTATAGCAATGTAATTGTAAGATATCTAGTTTATTCAATTCTCAATGGATGCGTGGGTGTGTTTTGAGGATAATTTTCGAATGCGATATATGCGTGCGTGACGCCTGGTCGTACTTGTCGCCTCCCTACGACAACCACCGAAAAACTATATTACCACTATTACTGTACCATATAATAAATAGTTTGTTAGTTATCTGTCTCTGTCAGATACCAGTAGTAATTTTATCTTATGTTGTCTTTTAGGGGATTCGGATTTATCACCTTCGCAGACCCGGCTAGCGTAGATAAGGTATTAGCTCAAGGCACTCACGAGCTAGATGGTAAAAAGGTAGGGTAGCATTTTTTATTCCTTTTAGTGTGTACTTTTTTTTACTCTTTTCTCTCCACCTACTATTTTTTTTATTCTTCGTTTCTTGGAGAGCGTCCTGCGTTTTTATTTCCGCTCGGCCGCGTTTCTTTTCGGCGACCACGCCGTCGTCTTTTGGGGGCGCCCGGAACACCGCCGCCGCCCCCTCGGGCCACGACACGCTTGGTTCGCGTTCGGGCGCGTTTAATTTAGAACGCTTTTATGGGAAATTCCGTCTCCATCGTTACGTTGCGTACTTTGCCGTAAAATAACGCGTGCTGGTGCGTGTACGCACCGTGCGTACATATCGGCCAGGTCCGTATTAAATTTGTCGAGTTTAATGCGCGGATAAAACGTACTTGTGCGCCGAATTGACGCGTTTACTGTTTTATATTAAAAAGAATAAAAAGCCCGAAAGAGAAATGTCGCACTTTGGTTGTTCTTGTTGGACTTTCGGACGCAGGCAACGTCGAGGACTTTGAGAAATCGTCGAAACGACGCGCGACGCGCGAGTTGTAAAAGAAGTCCTAAGCGCTTTCGCAATTAAGATTCGCGAATTATTTATTATGCCCCGGCTCCCAACGCCCGTTAACTGTTTCGCCGATTTATTTTTCAAACAGTTAGACACAACTCGCAGCACGTCGCGAAGAACGCGAACAAGAGAGGACATGTTCCTGCAGGCTTTAATTAATATTTTAAAATCACGAACGGAACGAAACAAGCAATTCATTCGAGCGTATACTTCCTCCCGAGGCGCGGGCACAACCCTTTTTCTTGCCGCGGCGACGACGACGACTCTCGAGTTGGAAACTCGTGCGCCATCCGCGGCTTTTTTCGCCCGGCATCCGCCTCCTTGTTGACTGATGTTAATTGTGCTGACTAAACCTCTACATTATAGGACAGCTCGCGTACTTTATCTCGCTATATAAGTTTTCTCGGCTGTGCGCGCGATATGTGTCTCGCTCGGCTGCATACGTGCGAGACTAGGGTTTAAGCCGCCCGATATGCGGTTCCCGAGCAATTAGCAACCACGTCTGTCACTGCTTTCTGCTGTCAGCACTCGACAGCTTCTCAAAAAGTTCGCCGCGCGAAATGGAAACGCTCTACTTTATGAATTTGCCCCGCTTCATTAAATCGTAGCTGAGTTATGCGTTTTAAAATTACATTCTGAGGTTAACAACAATACGAGCAGTGTGAGGCGGCGGCGGCGGCAGCGTCGAATCTAAATGTCAAAAAGACTGCGGGCGCGCGGGCGTTAGAGAATGTCACGTCCTCGGTGGTTCACGGCGTACGTACACATGAATGAACGCTCTCGGGCGTCGAAACAAAATGTTTGCTTTGATATTAACCGAACGGGAACGCCGAGGCGCGAGACATTTAAAGCTGCCGCTTCTCGAAATTACTCTTCGGAAGCGATGTGCGCTCGAGTTTTATTCGAGTTGATAGTTTAGTTCGCGACGTGTAACGTCTGCCATACTCGCGATGAATTAACGCCAAGCGAATTCGTTTAAAGCGCTTTTCGGAAGTCGGTGCCGGTGGCGTTTTAAAATTTCATCGTTTCTCGGGTTTCGGTTAAAGCTACAGTTAAAAGAAGACACGTCTATTTTGTGATATCGGCCGCGAAGGGCTGTAAGCGTTTCGCAGCACCTTAGAAATATTTGTTCCGGTTGCCGATAAAGCGTGTCGACGAAAGCGTCGCGCAAAGTCCTAGCTCACTATTGAGGACGGCCTGGATTGCAATGACGGGCGTCGGAGTCGTACATTAGAGACCGGGCACAACCCCGAAAAGCCGGTGTAGGCTTGAATTCCTGATCACGATAAGACGGGCGCGCGTTGTGTCGATCCGCTCGCGTTTCCCGAATAAAAAACGAAATAAATGTTTACGTTCGATTCTGAGTTGGCCATACTATAACACATTAAACTTTCATCGATTTCCGACAGGGGCACACTCAAAATTCGATTAGAAAGTAAATATTTAATAGGCGCATGCTTATTAGAGAGAGCGTGTTCATACGCCAACGAACTGTGTTTTTTTTTATCTAGTTGTCGGTATCTTGCGTGAGCCTATATAAAAATTGATTATCTATTGCATTGGAATCGGTTCCTGGGAAATTGAAATAAATTATGTACGGGATTTTCGTATGAGCGGCTGAAATGTGCATCGGCCATCTTGAATCCTCCCTCCGGTTAATGGTATTCAAGGTCAACGCAATTTCGCTCCTCCAATCTTGGGGGTGTGCTCAAGCGAGCGTTGAATGGCACCAACTATGCACAGAATGTTAACGCTCATATTAGAATATGTATATCCTTCCAACGCTTACCCTTAAACATAATATGCCCAATGTTTCCGCCGCTCGCCTTGGATATCACGGTTATGGAAGATATTCATGGCATACCGTGTATCACATATCCATTCAAAACATCCACACTATCAATAGACATTAAATTGAACCATTAATGCGATCGGAATGCTTGTTTACATGCATACACACTCAGCGCATACCGAGGAGGGTGGCAATGAGCCGGCAACGAGCTAAAATTTACTCGCCGGCGTTGCCGCCTCCCGTCCTACTTCATTCCTTATCGCCTAGTTGCTTAGCGTGGCGCGCATACACGGGATGTAATGATGAAATGATATCATGCGTTACTAAACACATCCACAACCACGGGGTAGCCTCGGGTAGCCCCGAAATAAGCAGCGCCCCAGCCGGTTATCAAACTTAACCATCGCGCGGTAAGATCTCGCTCGGAAACTGCGCGCTAACCAACACATACATGCATACGCTCGAGATACGACCGTGGAGAAACTCGCTGTGTTTTGTTCCCGCCACCGCTGCCGCTGCTCGACTCTCGGATCTCCGGCTCGCCGAGAACATGCAGCATATAATTGTGCCGCCCCTGCTGGTATAAATTACTCGAAACCTAGGTAATGTAATATTTGTGTTGCGGTTCCATCTCCCCGATTCATTAGTATTAAGCGAGCCGAGAACTCGTTGCCGCCACCGCACACAGGAACACGGGCGTGCATTAATAGTGGAAATCCCAGCGAGAACGCAGCGCGGAGGCGGCGCGTAGGATCATCGTTCGGTTTCGCTTTGGCAGTTTGTTGTTTGCCACACGCAGTCATATCGACATACAATGGTGACACGTCCACATGTGTGGGTCGTATGAGTAATCGTAATTAGCAGCTGAAACGGATTGATCAGCGTCGGACAGTACACGTGTGCGACGTGTAATTTAATCATTTCAGTACCTTTATTGTTCGCCAATTTCTATTTGTAGCTCAATGTCCAGTCCACCGCGAAGTGAATAGTGGTCATATTCGATACAAGCCTGTAATATTCGCGACATAAATTTGCTCTCAGGTCGGCCTGAATTCTGAATTGAATTCAATGGGGTAAAACCTCGAAGGAGCTTTTAATTTTTGTGACGTCGTTGGTAATTTGCTGCTTATCGTCGCGATATTCCGCGCGGCACTTTATTATTTTACATTACGCACGAAACATCGCGCCTGACAGCGAGGTGTCTAAACGGAGCGATTCGATCCGACGGGGAGGCGAAATGTGTAATGCGTGCGAATCCTAATCGACGCCGCCCCTCGTTATTATAAAACTTTTTAATGGCCTTTTAAAGAAGTTTATCTTCACTGCGAACGCGAGCAGGAACGCGAGAATATCTTTACTACTTCTGCTACAATGACCGACAGCGCTGCCGTCGTCCGCCGCCCCCACTTAGTATCTTAAGTGTCGTCGATTTTAGCGCGCACAAACGGAACGCGATCGTCAAAAATTATGAAAGAATATTTTATGTCTTGTTGTTGTGCGTTATTATGATTCGTATAAAATCTTTTGTTTTTTCTGTTTTTTGTTTTCTTGACTTTTACGCGTGGGCGCTACATTCGCATTACAAAGCAACATAAAATCGTACCGCGCAGATATAAAACATTCAGTCGGAATCGTTAAGTCAGCAGATTTTGTATACAAGCGCCAATGGAAGTTTCCCCGCGGATTCTTTCGCGTGTAAACGCCGCGTTGGTTGTAAAAGAACCGCACCGCGTATTAATTAGTCGGGCGCTTTAATTAGTCTTACTGCTCGCGCGGCGGTTTGTCGAGAGGCATCGCAGCAAGAACTGATCCTTACGTTGCGATTCTTGCCTTTGTCATTTCGATGTGCTCGGGACGTTTTTATTTGTAATTTTTGATGAAATTTCACTCCAACGCAGCACAGCGTTCTTTTGATCAGCAGCCTACTGTGTTTTTAATTGCGTCGTAGAACAAACCTTTCCGCCACATTTGCCACTTTCGTGTGTTCCGTCTTCGTTTTGCTTTTGCTTCTTCTTTTGCGGTTCTGTGATGTTGCGATATCGACTTTGCTTTGTTGTGTCGTTGATAGCGATATGGAACGGGCGAACACAAATAGACAAAAGCGTCCAATAGATAACACTCTTAATTGTGTAGCCGTGTTTTGCTTCGTCTTTGAGCACGAGCAGAGAGGTATCGTGCGAGGAAGTGATCCGGAAAATCGCATTAAAATAATCTACAAATGACACAGGAAAAAAGCGTAAATAAATAAAGCGGTGCCCGCATGTCGACTCGGCGTAAATTTTCGCCGTATGTTAAATAAGAAAAGTGTGCCAGTCTAACGGCTTCGTTTTTCTCTTTGTTGGCGAAATTGGTACGTGTGCGCCGGGCCGCGTTCGCCGAAAGTAACAGTTCATTCATGAGCCGCTGTACGGCGGCAGTGGCGGCGGTGTAATTTATGCCGACAATGCACGCGCGCACCACTTCCCGCAGACTCGGAAAAGAAAGCGTGTATCGCCCGGCGAGTGCTGTTGAAACACACGAAGAGTCAGTCACCAGAGTGTGTGCTGGAAGTCGGAACGTTTTCCAGGTCATCGTGAAGAGTAGTGAGTGCTTCCATTCCCACAGCTTGATTTGATGATATCACTTTGCGCGCCGTGCTGATGTGTGGGCGCGTGTGCA